AAAAACCACCAAATGCCTCTTCCTCTTAATCAAAAATTGGATATATTATATGAAGCATCCAATAGTCACAATAATTTATTACTAAAAGGCCTTCAAAAAATTCAAAAAACTCTGAATCAAAGAAGCTCTTATACAATCCCAACAAGAACTATTGATCAAATATTGGACAAACTTTGAGAACATGGTTGAAAACTTCTATAGTAAATCCAAAAACTATATCAAAAAGGCACTCGGCTCATTAAAGTCAAAACTAAATCTTTACAAAATTTACAATGACAAAGATCAAATAAAAAACAACCCAAACTTTATACAAGAAATCATTAATAAATATTTTCAAAACATCCTCTAAAGTAGAAACTTCAACTTAGACCAATTTCCAGACTGGTACAAAGAATACTTTACCAAACCAGTTGATCAAGAAATATGTAATAAACTCTTCAATTAAACAATAATCCAAGATGCAATTAACAAACTATTCAAGAACAAAATTCTAGGAAAATCAGGAGTTAGTTATGATATTATTAAACTAATGGACAAGAAAACAATTCAATACATGTCTTTCATATTCAATCAGATTTTATTATTTGTGTTCATTCCCAAATCTTAGAAACAGACAACTATTACTCTCATTTCCAAAAAGCTTCTCTGGAGTCACAAACTTAATGATACAAGACTTATATCTTTTATTAACTTAGTTAGGAAAGTCTTTACTGATATAATCAATAAGAGACTAATCAAAACTCTAAAATCAAATAACATCTTATCAAAACTCAACTTTGCTGGCCTTCCAAACCAAAGTATGATGGAATTATTAACAATAGTTCACTCTATTATAAATGCAGCCAATACAAATAACAAAGAATTCTGGTTTGCATTACTTGATACAGCAAAAGCTTTTGACTCAGTATCTATTTCAGCTATTAAAAAATTCTTTGAAAGAATCAACTGCCTTACAACTATTATTGACCTAATTATTAATCTTCTTAGCAACAGAAAAGTCTTCATCAACATACCATTTGAAGCAATAGAACTTTTCACAGTAAACAATAGAGTAGAACAAAAAGAAACACTGTTACCCATTATTTGAATAATATTTTATGACTCTCTTATTACCAGATTAGCCAACTACAAGCCAATTTAAAGCTATATTGCCTCCAATGCCCTGGCATACATGAATGACTTAGCTCTTATTGCAGATAGCAAACAATCAATGGAAGACTTTTTTTTAATAGCTAATCAATTCTTTACAATAAACAACATTACATGTAACAAAGACAAAACCAGAATAATATCCAACATCAAGATTAAACAGGGCTTTAATAACTCAATCAAATTTGACAACTACCTAATTTAAGTTCTCAAGTCTCACAAAAGCATTAAATATCTGGGAGTACTCATTTTCTCCAGAAACCTACTCAAGTTCAATAGAAAGGCTCTTAATCAAACCACAGACACAATTTTAAAAGAACTCTTCAAATATAATTGGAAAGGTGAGATCAAACAACAGATTTGCAACTGGATTATTATGGATAAATTTGAATACTTCTTATCTTTATCATATTTTAACAAGTCCATTCTTAATACAATCCAATCCAAGATCAACAGACTTATCAAGTCAACTTACAAAATCATATCCAAATGCTCAAATGCAATTCTTATCAGCCTCAATATGACCCTCCTTGAAGAAAGGCAGAAATCTTCACTGGTCAGCAACCTATTATCCAAACTTTTTATATCAGCAACTAGAAAATCTATTCTCCAAGATTTGTAATTAATTCAGAAAAATGAATCAATCTGGTTTTGCCCTATTTGCAATCCAAAAAACTTTAATCAAAATAATTGAATTATATATATAGCCAAGATTGCAAAAAATCTTAAAATCAAAATCTGTCCAAATAATTGTCCAACTCAGCTTAACAATGCAGAAAACTCTATTGGTCTTCTATTTAAAAACCTGTAATTTTCTAACAAAACTACAGCAATCAACATAGCAAATGTCCTAAATATCAAATTTACTAATCAACTTTTAAAATACAATAACACAGAAAAACTCTTATGGCTTCAACTTATATTGTACACAGGAATAGTATGATGCAGACCAGAACCCAAATGGTTCAAAGATTTCAATAATCCAAACAATCTTTATGGAACTCATGGTTCAGTACTAAACCCCAGTCCATTATTCTGATACTCACACAACTCAAATTACAATATTAAAATACATAAGAGAAGTTTAAGCATAAATAAAAGGGCAAATTTTAAAGGAAGACAATATTCTATCAAAGCAAGTATATGAGAATAAGCAACTTTATTTATTTCCAAGATCATATCTAGAGATAGCTTTATCTAAGATGGGTATTCAAGTATTGTATGTAAAAAGTTTGTATATAAAAGTTGTTAAACCAATATGTATTTTTTATTAAGATTAAATAAACTCTTAAAATACTTGTTTAATTATGGAAAAAAAATCATTTGCTTATAAAAAATGTTAATAATAATTTTATAATATTTATAATTGATAAAATAATTTATGATTTTACAATTATACTATTTTGTTTATATTAAAAATTTTATTTGTAATTAATTTTTACATATAATTATTATATTTTAAGTATACAATTGTTTTTAAATAATATACAAATAAAAAAATTCTAAAATTTTGCAATATATTGCATATTATAAAATTTATGTACTATTAATATTAAGTAATGATAACCATTTGAATTTCTACTTGATTTAAATATGACTTAAGATATTTGAAATATAACAATTTTTTAAATAGAACTTGAACTTGATATAAAAAACAAAATTTATAACGACATTAATAATTTAATAATTTAATCAATTTTTATTTGTAATTTATATTATTAATATTTTTTAAAAATGTAAAGATTAGCAAAATTTTTTTAGAATTAAATTTTAAAAATCGATTTTTAATACAAAAAATTTAATAATATTGCAAATTAAAAATCGATTATTTTCTTTAAAAAAGAATTTATTTTGTGCAATTAGAAAATCAAAACAAAATACTTATATTTAATTTTTTATTACAGAGTTTATGATGTTCATGAATCTTTGTTAATTTATGCATGTATTAAGTAAATTTACTTTTTTTAAAAATCACATTTTATTATTTTATTTTTTTCGAAAAAACAAATAAGCGACGTTGCAAAAATAATTTATTTCATGCGTACACCGCATCGTACCATCACTTTTGTATTCGTTTGATTAAACATTTTTAATCGACAATTGACATCGTGCCAGTTACAGTATAAAAATATAAATCGATAATTAAATAAATTAAAATTAAAAAATATTTAATTTGTCACAAAATAATAATTATTAAAGTATTATGGTATAAATATTATACCGTGTACCGTATATATTCAATAGCCATAATCAAAAGGAATATTTAATTGTCATAATAGAAAAATATCCAAATAAAAAATTTTCAAATAATTGATACGGTATTGTTTTCTGATCCAAACAAGGAGTAAATATTTGGTTTTCGATTTTCATCAAAGCAAAATATGAATATGGAATCGATAATTTTTAATTAGTCGAAATTGTACGAGTAACAAGGATTCCGGACCATGTTTGTATTGTACGTGGCATGTTTTTGGAAGGAATTATGGAGCGATAATCAAATCGACAATCAATTTCATAAATGGTAGATTGGATCACATGTACAGAATACGTACTCGAAGCAAAAGCAAAAGAATTCAACAATGAGATTCTTATTTTATATAAAAATCATTAGGAAATTAAAGGAAGCGGGTTTCGATCATAATTAAATACCTCATACAGTATCTACAATTAAATTTTATTTAAAAAATAAGAATCAAAAATAGGCAATCGAAGTATAGAACCATATGAAATATTAAATGCGTAATGTGCACACGCCGCACCTCTTCCACTAGGAAGTGCTTGCTAAGCACGTACTACGCACATCTTACAGATTTTGAATTCGTGTCACTGTTGAACTGACGCTGTGTCACCATAAAAGCAAAACGACATAACATCCTATTTAAAGGAAATCAGCATAAGTAAAAATTACATGCGTACGATTACATTCTCAAGAGAAAGTTTGCATATTACCATTAGAATAGATTGTCTTGTTAATATGAAAATAAAATTCTTTGATAACTTATCCGAGGATTTCATCAAACTCCTTGAGAATAGTGACGAATACAATGTCGTTATTGAAGTTGGGGAATCACCGCTTAAACAATCATTTAAGGTCCACTCTACAATTCTTTGCTACAGGTTTCCCCAACTTTATAACGAACTAAAGAAAATTCCTTACAATCAATATCACAGAAAAATTATTCAAAAGCCACAGATTTCCGGGAAACTCTTTATGATTATCATCAAGTAAGTCATTTTCAACGCCACCAGTTATTCACACACATTATTAACCAATGTTTTTATTCATAAGTTACATCTACGGCGGGTTTATTAATTTAGAGAAAATATCAATTCAGCAAATCTTTGATCTCATGTTGATCGCAAGGGATTTTCAACTGGAAGAATTATTCAAAAGTATCGAAGCTCATCTCGTTAAAGATCAGCGTTCTTGGCTAAGCACGAACGTTTTTAGAATTTACAATGAGATCTTGGAAAGTGGCGACTTTCTCTTACTCCAAAACTTCTGTGATGACATGATTGCAAAAAGGCCAGAAATTGTGTTCAAATCAAATGATTTTTATAATGTCGACGAGAAAATATTAGCTTCCATTCTCAGACGAGATGATTTACAGTTCCGTGAGATAGAAGTGTGGGATCACGTGCTGAGATGGGGGAAGGCTAAAATCAATGATTTACCTTTGAATCCTGAGCAATTCACCGATTCGGATTTTCAAAAACTGAGAGAAGCCCTTAAAAATTGCTTGCCCCACATAAGATTTTTCCAGATATCACCCGGTGATATTTTCAATAAAGTGCGACCATACCATAAAATAATTGATCAACAACTTTGGAATGATGTCCTTAGTAAAATCATGGTCCCGCAACAACCAATTGCCTCCACTATTCTTCCACCTCGTAAAAAAAAGGGCATAGGCAACCAAAGGGATTCGGCGCATGTTAGTCCTCACTTGGGTCAAACACATCAACGGAAATCCGAACTTCATATTCCAAAATATGAAAACGAGTCACAAAAGAGAGTTTCAGCATTGGAACCGCGTCAAACGCAAGCTGTGGAACACGGGACACATCGAACGTTGACAACGCGGCGTCCTGTCAACATCCCGGTTAACAAAGATCAATCTGGTCGACATGTGAATGATGGAAGATCCGTCAAATTATATGGTAACCATTTTTCCACTTGTAAATTTGACATTTTATTTTCATATTAAAATTTATTCGTATTTGAACAGTGAGAGCTTTGTATGACTACACGGCTTCAAGTCGCGAAGAAATTTCGTTTATGACAGGGGATCTAATAGCCGTGTTGCGTATATGTTCTGATGGTTGGTGGGAAGGTGAAATATTGGATGAAACTAGAAGAATTAGGGGCATATTGGATGAAACCAGAAGAATGAGGGGCATATTCCCAAGCAACTATACTGAAGTATTGAAAGGTTTGGGTTCGAGTCCAAGCTCAACTTTATAGTCTTATTGTAACATTATTAATCGACACATAAAAAATTCTCAATTAAATTACTGTATTATTTAAGAAAAATAAGATAGACATCCCTGATGACAAACCTTGGTAGGTTATCATCATATAAATATACTGAAATTTCTGTAATAATAATCAAAATAAAAATCTGAAAGCCGAAACATTTATGATGTACAGCTACTTTCGCATTCTTAAATTTCTCTTCACGATCATAATCTTTTGGAATACCATTTCATTGAACGGTAATGGAAAAAACAAGCGAAAAGAAGCAGATATGAGTTCAAACAGAACTCTCAGGAATTTTCGTGTGACTCTATTCTACGGAACTATGAAAATTGCTTTCCTCGTAAAAGTAATCGGTCAATTTACCATATGCCGTTATGATAGTATGGATTTTAAAAAAGATTCTTGCCAAATATTTAACATATTTTATTAATTAATATAGCAAAATGTCCAGTTTATTATTTTGACAGTTGTGAAATGCGTATTTCTCTCTAGCCTAGAATTTCATTAACAAGATTTTTTTTGTTTTTCTCTGCAGTCGATGACGTACTGCTGCCCATAGGCATCTTACGCGAACAAAAGTTTTAGAAAACACGGAAAACCATCCTTCGCAGGCTTGAGTTAATCAAGCATTGCATTCTTAATTGATTTGATGCAACATTCCCAAGGGGGGATTGATAAATTAGCACTTAACTACAGTAAATAGAATTCTATCCAGTTAACATACATAATTTCTTTACAATTCATTCACTTCTTTCTTCCTATATTGTGCTCACATACCGCTAACCAAGAAACGAGTTTCTCGCGGCACCTTCGCGGCGATTGGACACATGACAAGCGTCGTGTCTCTCTTGCAAAAGATACTGTAGTAAGTTTGTTTCAAAATAATGATAATTTTTTCGATTTTTAAGAATAAATCAAATTATAATTAAATATTGTATACTGTACGCGCTTATTATAAATAAACACATTCTTACGATAATTTTACTACAATATTTATATATGGCAGTTATAAAATGACAATGATGATAATGACAATAACTAATAAAATTTTCTATCATATTGATGACAACGAATTATGATAATGTGATATTAATATATATATATATATACAGTATATATTATTACAATTGTTGTATAAAGTTGATGTAATTTAATTTTATTTAAAATTCGAAAATTTATTTATGTATACATAAAACATTATTATATTCAATTATTGTTTTATTGGATAATTTTAAAAACGACAGTGATGATGATGACAGTAATATTGATTTTAAATACGATAACTTTATATCCATATTATTCACATAGTCTTTGGTACATGCGTGGAGCCTTTTTGATAAAAGTTTTACTTGGAGCACAAGGGATTTAAACGGATAACAACTCTCATGAACTTTTTATCACTTGAAATACCTCATACTCTTCCACTGAAAACATTTCTTCCGTTGACCTAATGGCTTTTTCGTAATACAGGTGAAACGTTTGACATCTACAATCTTCGCTAAAGTTTTCTCCTTCCATAGCCAAATCACCACGAAAATACGGACCATAATGTTTTCCCGATTTAATTGATTCATGATGCCTTGCCTTACTAAACACCATGTTTCTTGAATCAGACGGATCTATTTTAAAAATAAAACTCTTTTTTGTATAGTAGTATCTTGCCTCGGGCGGCGATTCCCAGCTAAACGGATTAAACCCTCCTATAATTTCGTTAGTGCCTTTTATCTTCAAAACTGTCAGGGTTTGACCCTTATTGTCACATTTTTGATGAAATATTTGTGGCGTAAATCCGTCTCGACTTCCACGAATGAGCAAGCGAAATACAAGTGAAGGAATTTTTTTTTCAAAATGGTCTGATTTAATTAATACTGAGTCGGAGTCTATTGGAATAGATGTGATTTCTTCTCTTAAGGTGGTATTGGATTCAACGCCTTCTCTGACAGGGAATGATGCAGAGGGTTCTGGAACCTCTTCTGACATCATCTCACTTAAAACCTTAAAGACCTCATGGACCATTGGGCGTACTTCCGGATTTTTATCCCAGCAACGTTCGTACAGTTGAACATATATTTCTGGCGTACCTTCCTCGGGATCTTCTCTCGTTCCTTTAAAGATTTCGAATGTCATTTCATCTCTACCCTTATTTTGAAAAGGTGGTTTTCCACTGGATATCTCCCAAAGGATAACTCCTAGGCTGTATATATCGGATTTCTCGTCGCGCTCATACTTGTTATTGGAAAGATATAGTGGATCTATATAAGCGGGTATCCCATGGCCTAGAACATTCGTAGATATTACAGGTCCATTCACCCATTTTGATATACCAAAATCTGCTATTAACATTGATCCCTTATGAACCAAGACATTCTTTGAATGCTGGATCAAAATAAATGGATAAATAAATAAATAAAATTACACTTAATAGTTATTGCAATAAATGTGTGATTCTTACAAGATCCCTATGGATAATTTTGTCTTTATTTGAATGCAAATATATGAGACCTCGTGTGATTTCTTTTGCGATACGTATTTTATCATTCCACGTGAGTTCTTTGAAATTTTCGTTTAAATAATCTCGTAAGTTGCCACCGTCTGCAAATTGAAGAATTAAAAAGTAACGTGTGGGTTTATCATCACGATGTTCCTTCGCAACTCCATAAAATTGATTAATGTTGGGATGATATTGCATCCTGATTCTGCACAAAATCTGAAGCTGCAAGAATGTATACAATGCTTTAAAAATGAGACCTATTTATAAATCCTTCATACAAAAGACATTATATTGCAAACCTCTTTAGCAAATTCTTTGATATATTTTTCATTTCGTTCAATTTTTAAACTCTTCAGAGCGACCGTTAACCCACGAGTTTTCCAGTACGCTTTCTCTACGGTGCAAAATCCACCCTCTCCAATGCCCACCATATCAGTAAATTCGTTATAATCAAAAATATTGACTTCATGTCTAACAATAATATCGTCAATTAGATCCATGGTCAAGGAATAATTCGTACGATTAAGAATGATAGTTTGTGAAATCGATAAACATTCAGTGTCTCGTTTCACTAACCCCTCAATGTCAAGTACATTACTTTTATGGAATCTCCAAAAGCAATACTGGTATGAGAATTGTATTGTGTTTCCAAATGATATGCCACATTGCACAGTTATCACGGAAAGTGTTTTCCGATTTTCATGCTTAACGATTTTCTACAATATATTGAATACAGTACAGTATTTGGGTTTTTTTTTGTATATTATGTGATAAAAATTTTCCTAAATAAATAATTAATTAAAATATATTAAAATATATATGAATCTTATGATATTCAAACAATATATTTAAGTATCGTTTTTTATTTTTTTTGTAAATTTAATCCTGTATCCAAAAAAAATATTATTAATCTCGGTATCAAATGTCTGATTATTTATACTGCTTGATTATTTTGATTGCTTCAAGTGTTTTAATTATTTCTATTATTTTAATCATTTAAATGTTATAACGATAAAAATAATATATTATACAGTCTTTATAAAACCACTCTATTTTGCTTTAACATCCTAAAATAAATAACGTTAGAAGATTCAGCAATCATGATATCAATAAAAAAAAAACAAAAGCCTGTTTCAACAATTTGGATTTTATTATTATAAGTCACATATTACAAATACTTCTATCATCAAATTTAATTATATAAACATATTAAAAATAAATTTGATATTTGAATGTAAATAAAAAAAATTAAAATTTATACAAATAACTATAATGTAATATATACAATATTCAATAATATCTAAATATTAATAAATAATAAATGGCTTAATTGTAAATATTATTATAAAGAAAAAGAAAAATATAATATATAAAAAAATATATAAATATAAATATATAAATAAATCATAAAATTATAAAAAGAGTTTAATAATAATTAAATAATAAAAACAAAAAATAATATGCTTTTCTATATATAAATATTAAATAAAAATAGAAATTATAACAAATCTGATTAAATTAAATTTAATTTAAAATTAATCAAATTTAATTAATTAATTATTATTTATATTTTTAAATAAAATAATCTAAATAATACCAATTGATTTATTATATTAAATAAAATATAAAATATATTTTTAATTGTAATTATTTTTTTAAAATAACATATTTGTTTATATTATTTGTTTTATTTAATAAGTTTTAATTGTTATTTTTTTAAAAAAATTTTTTATTATATAAAATATATATAACTTTTATTGCAAATATACATGTATATATAATAAAATAATTGTATAATAGTATTATTATAGATTTTTTTATTTCAATTATAGATCTTTAAATTTTTGTCATATATAAAACCTTTTAAAATAAAATGTTTTTGTGAAACATTTATAAATAAAATAGATATAAAGCAAATTAAATATAATAAAAGTTTTAAAAAAACTTATTAATTTGGTTGTTATTCAATAAAATTTTATTAATTCTTTTAATTTACTTGTTTAATTTAATTTTATTGATTTTACCAAAATAAAATAAAATTCAAATACATATATAACTGTAACTAATTATATGAATATTTTATATAAACTTTTTTTATTATCTTTTTATTATTATTGTAACTATAATCTTTTTAATCAAGTTTTAAAACAAATTATATGTTATATATTCTATAATAAACTAGTTATATATATAATATTTTTTAAATAATTATATAATTATTTTAAAAAAAAACTCTCTCCTGATCGCGTCCGTTTTGTTAAAAATTTTCCTTTTATGGTAATTTTAAGCAAGAAAAAATG